GTCAGCTATTTATTTCCCTTTAAAAAAAGTAAGTGGCGTCCTTGCACGTTTCCTCACTGATGCCCCACGTGACATTTCGGGATGGAGGTCGCCGGAGAAAAGGCATAGAATGTGCCAGCCCACGCTGGCTCCTAGAAGTGCGTAGTAGCTGGCGGTTATGCGCTGGTCTCGCCCGTTCCCTCCTTCCATCCTCCCTTCCTTCCTTCCCCTTGCTTCCCTTGTGCCTTGAAAACTTCAGTGTTATGAACTCATCCTGGCCTGAACTAAACCTCACGATTCCTTTCCCCGAGGTCTTGCTACTCAGCCTCTGAGGGTCCTGATTGTCCAGGAAATCTGCAAGAAGCAAATCCCGAGAGGAATACAGTCCTTCCAGGTGGCAAAGAGATGACAGCGGGCACTTTGCGATGAGGAAGGGCTGTTTATGGAATGACAGTTTTCTGTATAGCAGTGAAATACAGAGGGAGTGATGACATTATGAGAATTGATGCTTTTGCTTGCAGAAGGGGAAGGGTGACACATTTAAAAAATTAAAAAATTAAAAGAATTTTTTTAGGGGGGGAGGGTATAGCTCAAGTGACAGAGCACGTGCTTAGCACGCACGAGGTCCTGGGTTCAAGCCCCACTACATCTTCAATAAATAAACAAGCAAACCTAATTACCTCCCCCAGGAGAAAAACAAACAAGAATTTTTTGGGGGGGATAATTAAGGTTATTAATTAATTGATTAATTAAACAGGGACACTGGGGTGGTCTTTCTGAGGGGGGCACCTGCCTTTTTCAAGTCCTTGGGGGCTGGGAGAGGACTCACCAAGGAAAGGACGTGTGCTACCAGTCAGTGCTGTGAAGTAATTTCAGATTTCCTTAATAGAAGACCACTGTTTTGCTAATAACAAAAATTAACTAAATTAGGTCAACATTACTGCTATTTAAAATAGATGAAAAAATTTAGGACTTTGAAACATAAGATTGGAGGTTTTGATTTTTATTTATTTTTTAAATTTTGATTTAATTTAATGTATTGTGGTAAGAACATTTAATGAGAGATCTACTCTGAAGTGTGCCGTACACTACTGTTGACTGCAGGTACAGTGTGACACAGCAGATCTCTTTGGTGGTTTTTAAATGCTAACGTCTCACCCTTTAAAGCAGTTATTTTTATTAAGCGTGTGATAGTCTCATGTTTTCTAGGAATCCACTTAAGTTTGACTTCTGAACCATATTATATAAATGAACCTTCTGATGCTTACATTGTAAATATCCTAAAGCGTTCAAAAAGAAGTTGGAGAGCACCTAGGAATTTCGCTGTGGTCTTCTTGAGTCGTGACAGGTGCCCCAGCAAACAGAACATGGTTCACGGTCCAGCTGGAGCGAGCGTGTGCCGACGTGCACTTTTGGGTCAGATCCCGGTGGTGTAAATGGCAGGGGCCGCTCATTGGCCTTGCATGTGCTTTGAGGTCATTTAGAGTTGCCATCCTCTATAACGTGTAAGTGACGTTTTCCAATGAATAGAAGCTAAACGGGTTCCAAAACCTATTAAAATAATTTTTACTTAAAAAAGTTGTAGTCCACTTAGAGTTTCAGGTGTACGGCACAGTTGAGGTGTCACCTCACACAGGTCAGAATGGCCATCATCAAAAAGTCTACACATCATAAATGCTGGAGAGGGTGTGGAGACAGGGGGCCCTCCGCTGCTGGCGGGGGTGCACATTGCTGCAGCCACTATGGAGGACAGTGCGGAGGTTCCTTGAAAACCTGAAAACAGAGTCACCACATGATCCAGCAATCCCGCTCCTGGACATTTTAAAGTTGTGAATGGAATGTATGATTTAGAAATGATGAATTTGATTTTCTTAAAGACCACAAGAGGTCACAAGAGATCTTAGGAAGAAAGAAAAGTGCTTTGTTTTACACATTTGAATAAAAAGAAAAATCTAGTCGGGCGCTCCCTGTAGGTTCTCCAACTCCAAGTGAAACTAAACGAGGTAAAGATTGGTTTAAGCAAAATACTCTGCTTTCTTCAGCACTAGCGCTAAATTAGATTCTCTGAATTTTTTCTTTATTCATTGATTTCTTAAAGCATATGCACGCATATACACACTCACTGAGGCTTGAAGAAATATGATATTTATGGTGTTTAAAGTGACATCAGAATCACTTTCCAACGGTAGATTTTTAAGTCTAGCTAATGAAATGCAAATTCTGTCTGTCTGTGGACCAGACCATCAGTCTGGCCGAGCCAGCATTCCGAGCACACCAGTGGGCTGCGGCCGTGGCTTACGGCCCTGAGCATGAACTTTCCATCTGTGCCATCGCGGTAATTTTTCTGCCGCCACCTCCTGCAGCCGGGGGAGCCGCTTGTAGGGTCCCCTCTAGGATGTGCTGCTGCAGAGGGTGGTGAGGATGCGGGGTGTCCACCTGCCCCCAAGAGATGGTGCCTGCCGGCTGGGCAAGTGCGTGGGGCCGGCATCTCCTCGCTCCTTGAAGGCCTCACTGCTGATGCGGTGGAGGTGCTGTGTGAGTTTGTCCTTCCATCCCCCAACCTCCTAGGAAGCCAGCGGCAGCCACCGGGTCGCTGGCATCCTTCGCCTCACCTTCTCCTGGGTTTAGAGGACGCCCAGGCACCAGGAGGGGTGGCCTGAGAGGCTACTGGTTTTCTTCAGCTTTGGATTCCATCTTGCTTTTAGCTGGCACATTTTTCAGGGTCTGATGGACGTTCAGGGGCCCGAGGGACCAGATAGCTCCTATGGGATAGACCTTTCTTTTCCTCCAAACAAGTTAACATCAAGTATTCTGTAACCAATCACGTCACACCCACGTGGTCGCCCCCCAGGCCACGAGCTGGATGGCAGCTGTAAAGGAGGGTCGCTCTTCACTTGGAGGGTGCCGTCGCCCCGTTGTACTTTGTGTCAACCGCCCTAACCTTCCGGAGTCCTCACGCCCCAGACTCAGGGGGTCCCAGAGGTGCCACCCCCGAGGCACGTGGCTCTGCTGTGCCCAGCGGACCCACAGGAAGTCGTGGCTCCCCCCGATCCGAGTGGCCGGCGGTGCTCACACTAAAACGTTCTACTGGATGCGTGTAGCCGGGGTGTCTTGTTTGCATGGGGCTGGACTTTGTCACGTGCCGTCTGAGACCGTAAGGCGGGTGCCACACTTGGTCATTAGCACCGGGGCTGATGCGAGATCGTCGATTGTTGATGACCCCGAGGGGTGCGTTTAGAAGCACAAGCTCCTCTTTGTCCGTCTCGGGGGAGGAAGGGACCCTTCAGGACCCCACGGTGTGGATGTGGGAAGAGTTAGTGCTGAGGTGCGATGCTGCGTCATTCTGTTCACGGGCTGCCGAGGGCTCCT